CATGTGAATAGACTATGCTTTTGTCTGAAAACCTTTAATGCGTATAGAAAAGGCTAAATATATCTGATTAGATCCATTTTTGTAGGAAAAAAGCACACAGATGCTAAAAACTAATTTTTAAATTTTTACAATTTAATAATAATAATAATTAAATTCATAACATATTATTAATTATAATTATTTTAATAATAATAATTTTTAAAAATATTCTTTTACAACTGTTAACAAAAGTAAGTTTAGGTTATTTATTTCTATTTTAAAGAAAAAATATACAAGCTGAGAGACAACAAAATGTTAGTGGGCTAGGTGCAAATCTATTTAACATTCCTTAGATCTGTTTATGATATCAATTAAAACTGTAGAATCATTCTCATATTTCATTACTTATAACTTCACGTACGTGAATGTCTGTTTTAATAAATCATAATAAATTACCCACAATTATTTTAATATTCATTATTATTTGATTGAATCGTAGAAGAAATGTAGGGCCTCCACAAAGTCTAATCTTATCATCAGCACATTTATTGATTTTGTAGAGCGATATTTTAGCGCTTCTTACTTCATTTGACATTTTTCTTCGCTAGTTTTATTGGTCCTACTCTTCCGGTCGATAGCTTCCCTTATAATGTTGCATTTAGGTTAACAGTTCTTGGAACATAACGAATTGATTGTTTATAATAAATTATTTATATGTATCTAAACCTAACTAATCTATGAACTTATTCTGCTTAAATTCTAAAACGTTTAATAATTTTTACATTTTTTTTGCGGTATAAATCACCTCTTCGGATTGAATGGTTTCCGCCACTGACTCGAAGAGTAGTTTGGAACATTTTGTTCTAGTAATAAGTGGAAAGGGTTGGGATAACGAGATTTAATACTTAGTAGTCTAAGTTTATCTAAGCTAGAAAGCAAGGTTGTGGGATATGGGGAAGGGTTTTTCACTTTTTAACATTGCCTAATGATTTTAATATTTATCTAGTAGTTTGCTAAAAGAACATATGATTGATTGACGTTTAATGACAATTTCAAAATGTTTCAAAGTCATTGTTGTAATTTACAAAAATCTAATACGATCTTGCATTCCTAATTTGATCTGATAACCGAATCAGGTGCCTTATCTGTTAGTGATGGTAAATATTGCAATAGTTACTTCAGGATGTAGTTATAGATTGTTTTACTTTTATTTTACACTGAAAAAATCAACAATATACGGTTTTTTTAACTATTCATATATATTTTGTACATATATTATACATGACAATTTTCTTGAAAAATCCTATTTATACTATAAGTGAACTAAAAACCTTATACAAAATACTATGAAAATAAAAACAAAAAAGCGAAAAAGAAAACTTAAAATGATGACTTATCAAATATGAAACTTTTATTATTTTTTGTATTTAAAGTTTATTCTCGTTAATGATTAATATTAACATTTTCAAATATGTGCACATAAAACTTGAATATTAAAATAACTGATTTTTTATAATTTTTAATAAACAATTTAAAATACAAAAATATAACAGACGAATTGATGGGAGTGGCTGGTCAATTTCTTGCCCTTGCAGGCATTTAAAATAATAAAACACGCAAGCACTCTGTTGGTTTAGTGTGAATTAAAGTTTTAATATTTACTCAAAGTGTTAGATTTATAACAAAATTCTAAAGCGCACAACAAAAAATAATACTTTATGTAATGACCTGAAAAAACTTGAACATTATTTAAAGAAAAAATCTAAAAATAATTTGTCTACAAATAAGGTTCAAAGTCCATTTTAAGCTTTTCTGCTTGTAGCATAACAAAGAAAAAAAAACCAAAACATAAACAAATCGCAGCAACCAACGCAAACATACGAAACATACGTGCAACAAGTATGTGGGCTTTGTGGATTGTAAAACTCAAAAGTAGTTGAAATCAAAAGTTACAACACTGCATGTTAATTCCATTATGTTTAATAATTGTACATACGAGCATATCGGCTATGCATGAAATCATACTCGTAGATAAATACAGACTCGATATTTATAAAGTTAACTTTGTAAATGTGCTTTTAATGCAAATACAAACTTATGTATACCATATATGCATTAATACAAACTAAACTTTTAAATTGTTTTTTTTTTCATTTTCATATCACAAGCACAAGCGTAAGCGTTAATGTTTGTGCAGAAAAAAGCCGGTTTGAACAAATTGTAAACAAAACTATAAATAATCGCTATAAAACAATACAAAGTAATATTATGATACTATTTATATATGCTTGTATGTTTTTTTCTTTATATACGCAAGTATGTCTATCAAAACACTTATACGTCCCGCAAGCCTACTTCATTAAATCACGTAAAATACGTGCTGCTGTTATTTGAATTGTTTCATTTGTACGAAGAAAACAATTATAAAAAAAAATTTATATTAAATGACAATAAAAAAATACAGTGGAATCATTGATGCCATTAAATCATTTACAAAGAGAAAATAAAAAATCTTATGAACACACACAAACACACATTAATTGCTACAAATATGCATAAAGCTTGCATATTTATTCAACAACAACAAAGCACCTACCAACCCAATATCAACAATTAACTACAAATGAAGAGTGAAGAAAAATAAAACGTTTTAAAAGTAACGAACATCTAAACGCAAGTAATAAATTCCAAAATATATACATATGTATGTATGTGTTTGTGTAGATTTTTGCGATGCACGCTAAAAGCTTTTAAAACATTTTATTTCGCAGATAAGCTTAATAAGTGGGTGTGATTATTTAGCATGTGTGGCAAGGATAAACAAACAACTGTAAAACGTGATGATTATAAATATTAATATGTATAAACAGCATTAAAAAAATAATAATAATAATCGTATAAAATTTTTTTTTTTCAATTTATCAGTTAAACATTTGAACTTTAGTCAAAAATGTTTAGTATTCTCATGTTAAATTGCTAAATAGGCTGCTAATGAGATATGAATAAGTTAGTTGCTAATAGGTATATTTATTGTTATTGAGCAAGTACATTGCAAACAATTTTTGAAATTTTATAAGTATTTATTATATATTGTATTATGTATGTGTGTATGATTACTTATAATAATAATTGAAATAATTCCAAAAAAACAGATACTAGTCAAATACTTTTATTCTTATTTTTCTTTAAAAATTATTTTAATATAGCTTATCTTTAATTTGAAAAGAATATTTTGTTTTCAATATTTTTATTAATAATATTTATAATAATATTAAATAAAATAATGCTAAATTTAGAGATAATAGTCAAACAGTTTTATTCTTATTTTTCTTTAAAAATTATTTTACTAACGCATGTCTTTAATTTGAAAAGAATATTTTGTTTTTAAAATTTTTATTAAAAAACATAAATAATTATTTTTAGTTTATACAAGTATGAATGAAGGTCATAACTATTAGTTTCAAAAAATATATTAATGTATATATATAAATTATAGTTTGTTTTACGAAAATTATATGTACAAAATTATTTCATTTTATATACCATAATTGTTTAAAAAAAATTAAACATTTACTTAGTTTAAATTTGATTTATTAATAGTCTGTGTAATATTAAACAATTATTGCAACCAGTTTTAACAATATAACACTTTAAAATAAGCGAAATATGCAAATTAACACAGAATACTTTTAAAAATTTAAATATACTTTCAAAGTCTATTTGCTATAGGCTTCAATTGCAGCTTCTCTAAATAGAACTTTTCTTATCTGAATTAATAATTACTTTTTCAATTACCGCTAATGTCAATAATTACAATATTATATACGACTAAGCAGTTTTAACGAATTAACGTTGTTATTTACATACGTTAAAAAAAATATATGTACATATATAAAAATATATATGCAATGTTTCAGTAAATATATTAATTCAATTTCTCTAAAAAGGAATTTTAATTATTTCTTTAAAAATTGAAGCAACAAATTGTGGTACGTATATAACATTTCATTTCATTAAGAAACGCCTTAAGAAAGACTACCACACAATAACAAATTACATACTAAAAAATCGCCTGAACCCGGTTTTACTATGTACTCTGTTGTTCCGTCACTGTCCTTTACTGAAACTCACTGTACCTATACGTATATATGTGAATATGTGTTAGCTTTGCATATACATATGTATGTATAGATTTTAAAACTTCAAAGTCTAAAACTAACTGCCTTATCTATGTATGCGATGTTGACATTACAAATAAAACTGTTATATTTTTGAAATTAATCGGTAAACAAAAATTAAAGCATGTACTTAAATTTGAACCCATTGAACCAATTATTTTATTTGTTTACTGTTTTATCACCGTTACAATAATAAATTTTTTTAATAATTCTATGTGATAAGAAAAGTACTTCAGATTAAATTTGTTTTTAATTTGATATTTTTATTCGATTACTAATATAATTTTTGTCTATCTATAATAAATTATACGATAAAACAACAGTTTACGTTTAAAACGTTCGACATATATTAAAATGCATATTACGAGATATAAACCAAACCTTTTTTGCTGTTTCCAGTTCCAAAATTATATATATAAAATTTTTTTTTTTAATAAACATAATTATATATATTAAGCAAAGAGGTTCAGTGATTCCAATTGATACCTGCCCTGTCACGCCATATTTGTTGACTACACAAACTTGTTATCGGCTGTCTATGAAAAAGTATATGAAATTTGTTAATCAAACACAAAACGTACACATGCATTCATATATATCTAATTGTTAGCACTTTTATTCGATATTTGAATATATCTATAGACTTTAAAACATACAACATAACAAGAGATTATTAGTTCTGCAAAGCGGATAATAAAAAAATTATTTTATCACAAATTGAACAAACGTAATTTTATAAGTAAATATTGATTTCTTAATTAAACCGATTTCATACCCAATGTATTTTATAATAGTTTATTTACGATTATTTACAATTTAATTATTTTATTTTATTTTATTTTATTTTGTTGTTTTATAGGTGAACATTTAACCGGTGAATTTCGCGATAAAGTAAATCGTTTGAGAAAGGTAAGGTTAAATGCAATCGTCATTAGAAATTAATAGTTTTGAATTATCAATAAATTTTATTGTAGCTACCCGCTATCACCGATCACGGTTTTCAATTATCAGAAGATGTGGCGATATTCAGGCATTTATCACGAGAGAAACTCGTGCCTGAACATTGGTATCCACGTAAACATCTTGGACGTAGTCGCATCGATGAATTCTTAGCTTGGCAACAAAGTAATATGGGCGTGGCATGTACTGATTTGTTTCAACAAAAATGGCTAGTACCTTATTTGGAAAAGACGCAACCAAATAATAATTCCGTAAGTTAAAATGAATTCTAAAATTTTTTTCATATATATTCAAATTTTTAATACAATTTTTTTTATTTCACTTTTAATAACTATACAAAAAAAAACAAAAAAAAAGTTTTTTTAACACTATTTTAACGACTCTTTCAACCTTGGCAATGACCGCCTTTCGTTTTTATTTCCTAAAGTTTTTTTGTGAACTTGTTTTTTTTTTTGATTTTGCTATATTTTGTTTTTAAGTACGCAAATGTATATATAATATATATTCTTACTTAATTATTTTTATATATTGTTTCTTAGGTCAATCATGCTACCAAACGTCTCGAACATACGTTAAATGACTTTGAAAAATTATTTTTGAATTCAAAAAAATTTATTATTGGTAATAATATTTCCTTTGCTGATCTCTCTGCCATCTGTGAAATTGATCAACCAAGTAAGTAGCAATATAATGTTAAATTTCCATAATAAAATTTTATTAAATTTTATTTTTACAATTTTATTTTATAGAATCAATTGGTTTCAATCCATTTAGTAATCGCGTTAAACTAGCTAGATGGTATGAATCGGTACGTGACGAATTGGGTCCTTTCTACAAGGAAGTAACCGAAGATTTTGAAAATAAACTTAAAAATGCTGAAAATAACATGGAAGCTGTTTCATTAAAACAGTAAATTATTGTTACTTAGTTTTTAATTTTTAAACGATTTTTATTTTAAAATTTTACCTAAGAAATAAGGATTTTATAAGATTTTGTTATAAGAATATTTGTTTTCAACTATTAAACTATTGTTATATCAATTGTTTTTTATATAATATAAAAGATATTTACTTGAAAAAGTTATATCATATAAAAAAACAAAAAATATTTTTATTATACATTAATACTGAAAATTTTTTCATATTTTAATATTTAAAATATATTTTATATACTTTATACACAAATACAATAATATGGAAAAGTTCACGGGACTTAACTAATAAATGTTCTTAATATAAAAAAAAATTAAATATGACTTTTTTAATACTAAAATAATGTATAATATGATTATGAAAATAACTATTTAATTTTAAAGTAATGGTATATAATGAAAATTTCTTTTATTAGAAAAAGAGTGAAAACTCTATGATGCTAGCACTAATTGTTAGCCAAGATTTGTTTATTCTACAGCAGTGTTTTGTTAAAATGAGATAAATTACTCGAAATAATAACAAAAAAAAATTGTTTTAGAAAAATTGTGCGTTAGGAGAACTTTCATATAGCAGGTACATGTATTTCTGAGTTCTTATAGTTTCAATTTGAAGAAAATTTTACTAGATCAGATATGCTAGATATACTCAGTGATATGAATATTAGATATTGTAAACATCCTATTAAATATAAAAAAAAAATCGGCAAAAAATTTAACACATGGTATTCTTTAGAGTGAACGAGGTACTGATGCAATTATGTATCAAATTGCTGCGAAAGTTTAGCCAAAGAAGCTGACAAGAACATCCATTTCTTTTATTCGCATCCGGTTACAAACGTTTAGCTGCCGCTAATGAGAATACACCCAATGTGTTAAAAATTTTTTATCTAAAATCGATTTTATTTAATGTATTTAATTCAGAAATTGATATTAGAAAATTTAAAAAATTTTATACATTTTTTTAATATATACTTTATAAATTTCACTCTAAACAGTGATACAGTTAAACAGATCGTAAATTACAATAGATTTAAAACTTATTAAATTAATACAAAAAGCTAAAACAAGCGTATTCATTTTTTTATTAATATTGATAAAATATACATCACTAATAGTTTCGTTTTTATTTCGTTCCAACCTTAAAGAAGGTGCTTAAATATTTCAAACTGACAGTTGTGATTTTTTGATTAATGTGTACAGTTATTTCTGCATTTGCCAGTTTAGTGAATAAAATGCATTAGTGCTTTTTATATTAACATATTTGTATTTGTTTAAATTTGGTTATTTTCAATTAAATTATTATCAACAAATTTATTGAAAGCTTATTGGTTTATCTTCTAAAAAAAGGTAAGTAAAGTTTGTAATATTTTGTAAATTTCAAAAAACTTGCATTTATAAAAAAAAGGAAATTTCCCTAAAATATTTAGTGTTTTGTACTATAAAATAATATAATATAGTAATATACTTTATGATATCGAAAACGTATAAACAAAATTTGGTAAAACAAAAAAAAACGAAAACTTTGAATTAGAATTGGGCGGCAAAACTTTTAGGTTAAGTAAAAGATTACATTTTAAAAAATATGAAAATTTTTTTAATAGAATTGTTAACTTAATAGGTATAAGCATTAATAGTTAGATATCTGGTTCACAATACAAAATCAGCTGCGATAAAAGTTTATTACTTTTCAAATCAATTGCCGGTATTTTTGATAACGACCCGACACGAGCGAGTTGCATTAGCACATCGTATATTGCTTTGGATTTTGTTTATAAAAACTGGCGTTTAAAAAGACTGAACACTGCATAAGTCTTTTATGTGCCTTGCAATTAGCCTACATACCTCTATAATTGTCTAATGTTATCCTGAAAAACGATTCTTTCCTTAGGTAACCTTAGAAAATGAATTATAGCTGTGATTATGTCTGGAGATAATACGCTGCGTATTATCTCCAGAGTCGACCAGTAATCAATATCACCATAAGTAAATCAACAAAAATAATTGAAAAAACCCTTGTTTTGTATAAATTTGCATTTATTTATTAATTTATTGTTTTCGTAATTTTAAAATCTTAATATTAATATTTAAACTACTTGCAGTTCATAACTTTTACCAAACGTTATAATAACATTTATTGTGAAATTAAATTGTACACGAAGCGCATAATTACACTTAGAAAAAAACTTATTAATAATTATAAGTAAATTGTTGGCAACAAAAAGTAGTTAGTTATATGCTTATTAAAAATGTTAATTCTTGCTTAATATATTTATATATTATAAACTAATAATATCAATTGGCAATAATTTTTTTATTATATTTAATCATGGACTAAATTATGCTCAAGCGACTGAAGTTTTTTATTTCTCCTTCTTCGGAAATGATTTGTCATTTATTTAAGATGAGGTTGAGTAAAATTATTTATACAAGAACGTTTTCTTTAGTCATAATTTACTTGAAAAATTAAGAGTTTAAAATTATTTATTTCATATTATATAAATTATTCTTAAAGAAACAGAAAATTTGGTTATTTAATTAAAATATGGACGAATCAAAATTAGTAGTGATATCTCGATTAATTGAAAATATATTTTTTTCCAATTTTTTTATTAAACATTTTTTAAGAAAGCAGATCTCCATTATTAAAAAATATATATTTTTCTATTTTTTTTTTTTAAATTTATTAAGAAAGCAAATTAAAGATTTGTCGCTTAAACATTATTTTGCCCATTAAGTCAACAATTTAGTATTATATCAAATTTATAATTAAATTATGGATTTTTTATGGTTTTAATAGATATGCTAAACAATAACAGAAACTAGGAACAAATTTCAGAATCGTTGTTGTAATGATTAATTATTACATATATACTGTTTATGTGAATATAGAATAAAAGTAAAAAATTCAGAATTCATTTGATAATAAGTAAAAAAGAAAGTCACCCGCAATAATATAAAAGATAATCTATTTTATTTAATGTTTCAAATAAGCAAATTTTTTTGCTTTTCTGTTATCTATAATAAAAAATATATATTCTTGTTAAGAAAGTTTTAAATTTATATTTTTTTTTTTTGTTGGAGTCTCTAACAGGATCAAATTGTAAAAAAATATAATGCTATGTTTACACTTATATTTATCGAACCTTACTAGCACATTTTTGTATGGGTTTTGTACGATAAATGGCACTAACTGCTAAATATTTCGATACTCAGTATTGAAAAAAAGTGTTTAATAACGAAAAACAAACATTATTTTACATAATATTTGTCTAAAAATACTCCTAAGTTCAAGAAGTAATATCGATAAATAAATATCGTTTATTTCGAGTTGCTGATACATATGTTCAGATGAGTAATTTCCAGTGCAGCAAACAACATCGAAATGCAACGATTAAACATTCAACGTTTAATCAGTTTAATTTTTACAGTTGCGTTAATTTATTTAATATTATTATTATATAGCAACTATAACACGCGTAGAACTTCGCAGTTGTATTCTGCCCAAAGCATATATATCGATACTTTTAATTATCGCGCCATCGCTAATTATAAATATAAATTATTGATTGCCACAATCTTTTAGTGTAAAAGAAGCAAGCAGTTGACTTTCTTTTGAATTAAGCTATTCTTATATACATTATTTTAAACTATGTGAGAATTATAATAGCAAATCGTTACATTTACATCAATTATATGGAATAATTTACATTAATTTTAAAATTTTTAAATCTATTATATATTTTAAATTAAAATTATTTCTAAATAAATATTTTATATTATATAATTTTAACAAAAACAAAATTTTGTTTGTTAAATTGCTTGAAAATTATTTTCGTATTATCAACCTCGTATTTGTGTATTTTTTTTTTTTGTTACTACTCGAACACAATTCTTTATTCAAATACTTTTACAGTATTAAATAAATTTTATTTTATTAATGTTTTTATATTAAATTTCTTAAATGTAAAAGCATGTTGAATTTTTTTTTTTAAATTTCTACACAAATTTTTTGAGTCAATTTTTAATTTTTATGTGTGTCAAAGGCACTGCAACTGCATTATCTAAAAATTATATTGAATATTGTATTCTTCATTTTTCTTTTGATAATAGTTTGTTTTCCTATTCTCAAATATGGTAAAAAAATTATCTAACATTATCAGATTTGCTTCGATCTATACGGTCATAAGTTAAATATATCTTTTTGACTCTAGTGCACAACTCTTGTTAATTAATTGATTCCAATAACAGATCCTCTTTTTTTTTAAATATAAGAAGAAAATATTTGCAACATGAAACGAATATACCAAGTTTCAATATCTGTTCTAAGCATTGATAAAGCACAAATCTTCGTACAATAAAACCTATTGAAGTTGCTGTGCGTCTGAGCCAGTCATAATAATAATAATAGTACAACTATAGCCCTATATTATATTATTTCCAACCTCATATACATATTAAGAGAAGCACAGCTGAAAGTGAATGGTTTAAGTGGTTATTTTAGATTAGGTTGGAGAGATAACGTTGTATAGCCAAGCTCACACAAATAATAAGACGTTGTGATACCACGAATATTACAATTCATAGTTAAATCTTCTAAGTTCTAAATCCAAATCTTTTACCTCCGAACAGTGCACCTTTGAGAAACCGGAATCAACCAGACAAGTCTATAAACAGTTGAAGTGGTAATAGTATTAACTTATAATATCACATTTCAAGTGAACTCTTAATTTACAAATCACTAAACTCAAATGCAAATTATTTTTGTGTTATTAGTCGAGAGAATTAATAATATATATTACATATTTTATATATCATTCTTTACGGTATATGAAGACAATGAAAGAATGCAGTATCCACATAATATTTTCCTTATCCTTAATTTTTTAAATTTTCACACAAACTTTTTTGTAAACACTAAAAACTAAGAGTTATTTTTTTCATTTCATGTTGAGTCTTTTCCAAGTTAGTGCATCTGGGCACTTTTACTCTTTAATAGCTGGGGGGTTTCTGCAGAGTCCCACCCTTATCACTGACTAATTTATGTATTCCTCAAAAGCTTCTTGATTATTCGATAACTGATCTAAGATCTCACGGGGCGGTACGCAGATTCTAAAATTATGCATATTCTAAAATTAGTGACTATATCATTGCATTACCTGTCTTATACATAAACCCGAAACTAAAGATCAACCGTTCATATCTTACAACTAAAAGTTAACCTTAAATTTACATATGGCTTAACCAACTAGAATTAAGCTTTTATATTGCACGAATCGAAATGGATGATTATTTTATTCCATTAATATCTTTCTATCACGTTACCAGTATGCTCATGCTAAATCTACTTTTTCTTCTCCAATGGCGCTACATTCCAAACCAAGTATTGAGTTCCCAATTATTGACCTCAAAACCCACAATTGTTACAACACAGCTTATGCTAAATCTACTTTTTCTTCTCCAATGGCGCTACATCCCAAACCAAGTATTGAGTTCCGAATTATTTACCTCAAAACCCACGGTTGTTACGACACACTGAAACAACTGATACTATTGCTATGATACTATTACTATACATATATTAATTAAACCAATAGATGTTTCTGAAGACCACTGATTTATTAGAGAATATTCTGAACACAGGCAATATATATTTCAATTAACACATATCTCTCATATTAAAATCTGTCATTAATAAGGTTACATTTAAGTTAAATAGTGCTGGAAGTGAAAATATAAACACAGCAATTAAATATATTGCAAATATATACTTTAAGACAAATTGGAACACAGCTGTTAACCTATGACACAGTGACAATAATTTCAGATGGACGAACAAAAAGGTTTAAATATAAAAATAATTAACATGGATGAAGCCTTCACATAGTTTCTTTTCATTGCTAAGAGAAAAATGGCTAGTATTTATGGAAGATACATTAGAAGTCACGACTGAGCATTAAGCCCTCTTTAAGATTGCAGATTATCACAATGAATCTACATATTTTAGTATTTTAAAAGTCGATAATCATCTCTAATAACTACTCAAAGATGTAAAGTTTGGCTGGATTATGATATAATAGTTTATAAAATTATTATAATATATTTAATTATCATAATAAAGAAAAATTTATAAAATATAGATCACTCGAGATTTTATAAAATCGCTTTATGCCAAAATTTTATATCTCTAATTTTAAATTATACATTTTTTAGGTAAGATTGGATAATATTTAAAATTAAATTAATTGTTTGGTTATTATTTGAATGAAAGCAAAGTGAAAAGGATACGAGTATATACTATCAGACTTAATATAAAAGTTATTTCCACAAGCAGTTTGTTATCACTAGCTATTCTCGATTACTCATAATAGTTGATAGTTTTCTGAAACTATGGATGGACAACGATAGTCATGCCTCTTTAAATGAAAACGTAAACGAAAAATTGTGCAATTAAAAAATTTCGAATAATCGAATAAACCCCAATCCAGAGTGCCTTCAACCATACACATATCATTTTCTTTCGCGGAACAGATATAGTTTTGTCCTTTTTTTAATTAAAAGCGTAATTTTAAAATCTGCATGGATATAAACAAAAAGTGTTTAATTTTTCACTCTATAAAAATTTCTGTACTTCTTAAGTGTGATATAGCTGCCATTTGTTTATATCCCTTAAACTTGAACCAACGAATATGACATACCTAGGTCTATTGGGAGTATAAAAAAGTTGTCACCACTATCCCTAATTTTAGGTAAAATATTCGATAGTTTTGGCAAATCAACGCTACTGGCAAAAATTTTAAGACTATACGATGGAGACATCGATAGTAAGTCACCACTGCAGTGACCCTGGTATATTTTCGAACCTAACCTAAAATAAAAATATTATTCATTATCTATAATATAGTGTTTTACATACACACATATATGTATAATAAATTTAAATTATATTTGTTTTTAATATTTTAATATATCGCATTATTTTTGTTTGCAAAAACGGATACTCGTTTTAATATTAAAAATAAAATAATTTCTTATGATTTTCATAAGTCGAATGGTTAGTTTAAGTTTTTAACTAATTTAAATTTAAATTTTAAATAACAGTAATTATAAAATAAATTACGTAATTATCAGCTATTTAATTTAAAAGATAATTAAAATTTATTCTTTTTTATTTATCATAAAATATGAACCACAATTTGAGTTTGAAGCCTTTTTACATTAGTAAAATTTTTATTTTTAAATTAAATTTTTTATTTTTATATTAAATTTTCATTTTTAAATTAAATTTTTATTTTGTAATAGTTTCCATTTCATTTGAGCGTTTTGTTGCTATTTAATATATTTAATTTTGTATTTTGTAATATTCTATATAAGCACAATTTTGTATAGTACTTTTTCATTTTATTTTTTTTTTTTTCTGTATTTGTAACTTTATTTTTTTTATTAAGTTCTCTGTAAAAATCTATTATGCGTTTTTAGTGTGTGCGTATTGAATATTTATAAAATGGAACTTTATCTATTAAAATCTTGTATTTGCATATATACTACATTTACACATAATTTTTGTATAATTATTTCTTATAGTATTGCACATAAGAGTAGTAGTTTTATTATACACCGAAAAGCAATAATTTTTAATTATAAAAAATTGTTTTACTAATAAACTAAATAGAGTTATCATAATAAATAATAATTTAATCTACTGAAAAACATATTTTTTTATCAAGTAAATATTAATATAAATAGAAATAAAATATAAAATAATAAAAAAGAATAAAATAAAAATAACACTGAAGATGGTCTACAAAATAGATTGATTTATCTCTAAATAAATATATACATAAGTTAACAACTGTGATATTTTTTATTTACTCTGAAATTTGTTTTTATATAATACAAGTTATTATATAAAAATATAATTTTAAAAAACACGATATAAATTCTGGTAAAATTGAAACAAATAATCAAAATGATTATAATAAAAATAATAAAAACTATAAACAAAATATGTAAAAAAAAATTATATGTGTATATAAAAACTGACATAATCTTTTTATGCGTACGTAATTTATATATTATATATATATTATATATATATTATATGTATATTATATATAATTTATACTAATTTTATTTATTAAAAAATATTATTGCAATATAATAATATGTATATTATTTTATATATAAATTATATAGTAATAATAATAATAATATATATAATAATATAATATATAATATAAATTTAATACAGCTCTCAAAGTCTCTATTGAAATCATTTATCTATTTTCTGATTCGGAATGCAAACAAGAGTTAACTTTAATATCGATCCTTTAATCTGATTGGCACAAAACCATATTTTCCTCATATCAATGAGCTTTCACGTCTAAGAATCGGACACACTTTCGTCTCCCACAAACACCTACTCTCAGCTGTATCTTGAAAACCTTCCAGCTGCTACAATTTTCGCATATAACATCTACATGTTTCTAAAAAACAAATCACTTCCGTACTCCGGAAGACACGGTCTCACAAACACCTACACTCAGCTGGCCATAGAATTATGCTATCTGTTAGATATTGTTCTCTATATTATAAAACAAATTTAATTACACATAATAGAAGACATATTAGAAGTATAAATTTAAATTATTGCTCTTCGATGCAATGCTACTATGTAATAATGTAACAGCATAGCGTTACACATATAAAGCGTTTTAAATTAGGTTTAATTACAATAAATGATTGAACAACTTACATTAAAAGTACATTTAATAATCGCTAAAAGTCCATTAAGATCAATTCCGAAAAATATACAAGTATATTGCTAAAGATGAAATTATTCAAGCTCGGCATTTTGTTCACCTTCCTGATCTTCATCATGTTCATTCAATAGCGGACTATCGTCACCTAAACGATTTGGTGGTAGAGAAGTACCTGGCGTGGTTGGTGCAGAGCGTGAAATCCAACCTCTTCGCACACGACCGCGATTTGTGAAAAAATTAACACCAACACTACCGACAGGACTTTTAAGCATATAACGACCAGGAGGCGAGGGATTCGACATCATTGGTATATACATAGCCTTATTTGGTTTAGATGTATAAAATTTCTTCTTACTCTGTTGCAACGTGGATGGACGCATACTAACAATACTGTTTATTGATTTAATGCTGTTGCTACTATTATGTTGTGGATTCTGTTGGCTCTTAATATTAGTATTTGGTATCGTTGTGTGATTTGGACCCTCAGCTGCAAATATTGCATTTGATGAAGAAGTGCAGACATTTTGCTGTTCGATCATTGTGGCGCAACGTTGTAATTTAATATTGGATTCTATGGAATTCGTGTTCGTATGATTGGGTGATGGTGAAGACATTGTATGTTGTAGAGCTGGTCTTGAGTTAAACAATAGTATATCCTCATAGCTAACACCTTCGTGTAATTGACGTATTTGATCTAGTATTTCTTTGACTTCACCTGTTGGGCTCGTAGCTTGAGGCGGTGAACTAGGCGTACCAATATTTGCTAAACTACTAACGCCAGAACAAGTACCTGAGGTCACATAGCTACGTAGACCCTCATCTGTAAATTTTTTCGTTAATTCATTGATGCGTATTGGTGAACCGCTTATAGTGAAATTATTCTGTGATTGCTGATTTTGTTGCTGTTGCTGTAGTAGTTGACAGCATGTCTCCAGACTACGACGCAACAAATGCAGATCCCTAAATTCAGTATTGGTGCTGTTAGCTGCAACAGGAACTGTAATTGCAATTCCTTCAATAGAATTACAGGAATTATAGAGTGGCTCTCTTTTGGCCTCATTAAATTGTGTTGGATTTGTGCTTACACGATGTAATGGCTTTGGTTTAATACAACCATTACTATATATAACTGGCGTGCCACCAGCTTGTGGATGTGTCGTTGAAATTTCGGTTGCTGCAGAACCATTACTTAAACGATCATCTTCCATTATACCTGCGGTTGTTACGGAAGTATTATTAACAAAAATATCACTAACACTATTGCTATTTGCAATATATCTAAAATGTTGATCACTTTGTGATTGCATGAAGCCTGTAGTACGATGCTCAGATTCACCAACAACTCCATCATTATTACTGCCGTCAGCGCTGCCGCTACGACTGCTACCCGCTGAGTCTTCATTGTGAAAATGATCGCTATTCGAATTACGCATATGTGTAGTATAAGTTGATGAACCCATTAACGAATTATTAATTGCAATATTATGGCCTAAATTCCGATGCTGGTAATGGTAGGCCTGTTGTGCAACCATATTGTTACCACTTAAGTCTTGTTGGCCATTACCATTCGGACAAACCAGTTGTGAAGCAGAACGTGGTAGCGCGAACTGAAAATGCGAACTAAAACCTAAATCCGGACTAGCAGCACGCGAATAAGGCGGAGGCACTAGGGTGTTGGCTTCATTGGCATTGCATATAAAACTAGAACTAAGTGAATCTACCGTACTCGCAGCCGACAACCCTGAGCCCGCTGGTCGTACTATATAATTACGAAAATATTGCACCATTAGATAACTGGAACCGTTTTTGCCATTATCACTGTTACATGTGAAGACTAGCGGATATAAGTCTGGTTTCGATGTAACCTGTTAAAAAAAAGGAAATAATATTATTTTATTTTGAGTTATGGTATTTAAAAAAAAACCTCAGTATAAGGTGGTGGAGGATGATGAAAAGAGCTACAGCGGCTATATTGTGGAGGGGCATAGCAAGAACCGGCTGAATCACCCTCCGATTGTGCATGATGTTCTGGAAAACCCCAGCCACATAATGTACGGCGTTTTTTCCACAATGAATACGCACAAAGTACAGCCAATATAATAGCAACTACTAAGCACCTGTGGAAGACAAAAATAAATATTTAAATTCACCAAGCAACTTATATAAATATTTAATAAAAATGAGTGTAATATAAGTAAAGTAAAGTAAGGAAGTAATATATTTACTGGTCGGAGTCAAATTTATTTTGTACTATGAAAAAACCCATTACCCAACCATACTAAGCTGATTGCCGTTAAAGACTAAAGTAAAATTCACTTTCACTCTACATGGAGTGTACGGTGCATACAATAATGGCAACTACTTGGAATATTGTTTATGCTGCACATGTGCATGACTGTCGCTTGTCGAGCTCGAGCTCGAGCTCATTAGCAGCGGTTCGAGAGTGTATGCCCAACGACATTTCGCAAATAAGCAATTTGTTGTTTCTATATCCCATTTGGTTGATTCGAATTGGTTGATATCTCGAATGGCATAACCTTGATCGAAATCCTTGTAGAATTTCCTTTAAAATTATTTATTATGTTATTGCAAGACTGCATGACTTACTGGTAATGTCGTGAGTGAATTGTTTATTTATAAATTAAAATTTTCGTCGATGGCTGAAAGCCATCGCACTTTTGTTTAGAGAATACACAAGAGACAAATTCTTCTTTATGAGAATATGGTAAAAAAATATTCTTTCTTCCTAATAAGCTCTATAATTTTAAGCAAATAACACTTACCAGAAAAACCAATGACTTATGAAAAACAAATTAAGTACATGCTCTGACGGTGGTGGCAATTGGCGTGGCCCACTCTGATAAGGTGGGCAGCAACCTTGTGTGCAACATTCTCTTGGCAATGAACATATATGTCCACCTTCACAAAAACGTGCTGTTACCTGCAATAATGTATAAATGTCAAGTTAATGTAAATATAAATATGTATACATAATTATGTCTGCACAAGAAATAATTGTGTTTATTTAGTTTTTAAAAATTACAGAATTCACTTTGAAACTTGTGCGACCGTAAATAGCTTAAAATATCTTCTGCATGTCACTGTTAAATAAATAACTAATTATTATTGAACAAAAGTAATTATTGAATTCTTTCAATTTATTCTATTTTGTCTTAATTATCACTGTTCGCTTCCACAATATTTATTGCGAAATTATTTTGTATTATATTTATTTTAGTGCTATTAATTAGTCCAATAGTTTAGTTTTTCCTCTTTTTTGATACCATAAGATCCCACTTTTGTTTATATTGGTATATAACACAATCCAAATTTAGCCAATATACAGCATAAAAAAAAAATACAGATATTTCTTTCATTGCAAAAGAATGGTATATTAATTCTTATAGGTGACATCACTGGGTGGTGTGTAGTATGTCAAGATGCCTTAAGAATTAAAGTCGGTTTCTTTTTTTAAGAATTTTACATTCGCTTTTGTCTTCATCAGAAGAATTCCTTATAAGAATATTTTTTATATTCAATAATAGGATATTACTTTAATTCATTTGTAGTAATAAAAAGGAAAAGGATATCATCAAATTCCTCTTTATTACTCCAGCAGAGACGCCTGCAAAGTCATGTTGCGTCAGACCGAAACCCGGTAACGGGTTGTTACGGCCAAATAAGTAAGTAAAGATATCATCAAAAAACTTTTCTGTACTTGTCCAACGAATAATATTGTAAAAAAAGATTTATAATCTTCTGAGCTAGAGGACATCTGATGTGTTGCCAAAGATTTTGTACCAAAGTCACTGTGGTTCGTTACGTTAACATAATCGTGCAACTAGGGTTGAACAATTTAGAGTTCTACTGGTTCATGGAGTATCACAATAAGCCAGCTTAACTCTATTTAATCCATTACCAACTTAGGAAGTCGATGACCACTTTTACCTAACTACTAATCTACCTATTATATATATTTGAACTTTTTTGGACACTGATTATATGCATAAATAAAGTAGAGGGGTTACTTTGCAATTGAAATTATTGAATTCAATATATTAAATTATGTCAAAAATATGTCAAAAATTTTTAAAGTACATTATATTTATTTAAGTTAATGTTTTATTATCGAAACGTAGCTAAAAATCTTTCAGAAAATCTTAATTGCTACATTTATACATGTGATCTGGTATAATGAATATGATCTGGTTAACTTATGATTTATTGTTTGCTTTAGAATATATAAAATAAATAGTAAAACAATTATCATGACTTAATGAAGAAATCATACAATTTACAACCTTGATCGCTTAAGATATTTCATCAAAGTTGGGTAAACTATTAGTGTTTAATAAATGAATAATATTTGGGTCCTATTGTATATGTTATAAAGACAATGTGCTTGATTGTTGAAGAAATCGTGATCTTATCTATCAAATAAATCGCATACTATTTTGTATACGAAGATAAATAT